GTGCCACTTCTCAGGTCTCCTTCACACACTGCTGGTGTGTAAGAATTTTTTCGCGACATAGGGATGCTGGCAGATTACGGCCTCCCATAGCTGCTGCCAGGCCCCTAATTGCATGGGCCCCTATATACCGCCTCCTCATGCTGCTGCCAAGTCCCAGAGTCTGTCATGGGTCCCTCCGTACGGCCTCCCAGTGCTGCTGTCTCCATCGCCACACTCTGCTGCCATGTGCCACTTTCAGGTCTCTTCACACTGCTGGTGTGTTAAATTTTTTGACATAGGGTGCTGGCAGATTACGGGTCCTCCCATTGCTGCTGCCAGGCCCACTAATCTGCCATGGGCCCCTATATAGGCCGCCTCCTCATGCTGCTGCTGCAAGTCCAGAGTCTGTCCATGGTCCCTGTACGGCCTCCCATTGCTGCTGTCTCCATCGCCACACTCTGCTGCCATGTGCCACTTTCAGTCTCTTCACACTGGGCTGGTGTGTTAAATTTTTTGACATAGGGTGCTGGCAGATTACGGGCCTCACATAGCTGCTGCCAGGCCCACTAATCTGCATGGGCCCCTATAATACCGCCTCGGTGCCTCATGCTGCTGCCAAGTCCAGAGTCTGTCATGGGTCCCTGTACGGCCTCCCATTGCTGCTGTCTCCATCGCCACACTCTGCTGCCATGTGCCACTTTCAGGTCTCTCACACTGCTGGTGTTGTTAAATTTTTTGACATAGGGTGCTGGGCTAGATTTACGGGCCTCACATAGCTGCTGCCAGGCCCTAATCTGCCTATGGGCCCCTATATACCGCCCTCCTCCTGCTGCTGCCAGGTCCAGAGTCTCATGGGTCCCTGTACGGCCTCCCATTGCTGCTGTCTCCATCGCCACACTCTGCCTGCCATGTGCCACTTTCAGGTCGCTCTCACACTGCTGGTGTTGTTAAATTTTTTGACATAGGGTGCTGGCAGATTACGGGCCTCACATAGCTGCTGCCAGGCCCCTAATCAGCCATGGGCCCCTATACCGCCCTCCTCCTCATGCTGCTGCCAGGTCCAGAGTCTCTCATGGGTCCCTGTACGGCCTCCCATTGCTGCAGTCTCCATCGCCACACTCTGCTGCCATGTGCCACTTTCAGGTCATGTGCTCTTCCACACTGCTGGTGTGTTAAATTTTTTGACATAGGGTGCTGCATCTTATTACGGGCCTCACATAGGGCTGCTGCCCCCTAATCTGCCCCCCCTAATCAGCCCTCCTCTGGCCCCTATACCTAACCGGGCTCCTCCTGCTGCTGTCCAGTACGTCCCCATTGCTGCTCTCTCATGCCATGTGCCCCTTTCAGGTCTCTTCACACTGCTGGTGTGTTTAATTTTTTGACATAGGGTGCAGGCAGATTACGGGCCTCACATAGCTGCTGCCAGGCCCCCGTAATCTGCCATGGGCCCCTATATACCGCCTCCTCATGCTGCTGCCAGGTCCAGAGTCTCTCATCATGGGTCCCTGTACGGCCCTCCCATTGCTGCTTTCTCCATCGCCACACTCTGCTGCCATGTGCCACTTTCAGGGTTCTCCTCACACAAAGGAACTGCTGGTGTGTTGAATTTTTTGACATAGGGTGCTGGCATAGATTACGGGCCTCTCCCATAGCTGCTGCCAGGCCCCTAATTCTGCCATGGGGTCCCCTATATACCGCCTCCCTCTGCATGCTGCTTGCCAAGTCCAGAGTCTGTCATGGGTCCCATGGCTTCAGCGTCCCAAATCCTCCCATTCCATGCTGTCTCCATCGCCACAGATTCTGCCATGTGCCACTTTCAGGTCTCCTCACACACTGCTGGTGTGTAGGATTTTTTGACATAGGGTGCTGGCAGATTACGGGCCTCCCATAGCTGCTGCCAGGCCCCTAATCTGCCATGGGCCCCTTATATACCGCCTCCTCATGCTGCTGCCCAGGTCCAGAGTCTGTCTCATGGGGTCCCTGTACGGCCTCCCATTGCTGCTGTCTCCTCCATCGCCACACTCTGCATGTGCCACTTTCAGGTCTCCTCACACTGCTGGTGGTTGTGTGTTGAATTTTTTGACATAGGGTGCTGGCAGATTACGGGCCTCCTATAGCTGCCTGCCAGGCGCCTAATCTGCCATGGGCCCCTATATACCGCCTCCTCATGCTGCTGCCAAGTTCAGAGTCTGTCATGGGTCCCTGTACGGCCTCCCATTGCTGCTGTCTCCATCGCCACACTCTGCCATGTGCCACTTTCAGGTCTCCTCACACCATGCTGGTGTGTTGAATTTTTTGACATAGGGTGCTGGCAGATTACGGGCCTCCTATAGCTGCTGCCAGGCCCCTAATTGCTGCCATATAAGCCCAGGTCAGATATACCGCCTCCTCATGCTGCTGCCAAGTCCAGAGTCTTGTCATGGGTCCCTGTACGGCCTCCCATTGCTGCTGTCTCCATCGCCACACTCTGCCATGTTGCCACTTTCAGGTCTCCTCACACACTGCTGGTGTGTTGATTTTTTGACATAGGGTGCTGGCAGATTACGGGCCTATAGCTGCTGCCAGGCCCCTAATCTGCCGTTATGGCCCCTATATCACCGCCTCCTCATGCTGCTTGGCCCTCGGTCCAGAGTCTCTCATGGGTCCCTGTACGGCCTCCCATTGCTGCTGTCTCCATCGCCACACTCTGCCATGTGCCACTTTCAGGTCTCCTCACACTGCTGGTGTGTTCCATTTTTTGTCATAGGGTGCTGGCAGATTATGGGCCTCCCATAAACTGCTGCCAGCCCCTAATCTGCCATGGGCCCCTATACCGACTCCTCATGCTGTGACGTTGCAACAAGGGTGGAAATTCAACCTACATATGTTAGACCGCCTTTACGAACAGCAAAAGGCCATCACAGATTTCCTGATGTTAAAGCAGATAAAGGTACTCCCTGTGTAACTTAGATGTCAGCCATTGGCAGCTCATGCGTGACACCTGCGCTTGCTCAGGCCCTTTGAGGAGTGGCCACGCTATTCGTGAGTCGGCAGGACTATGGGATGAACGACGTCATTCCTCTGTTGCACGTCCTGAACAAATGCTGTTAACAATGGCTGGTCAGGGTGCGGTAGACGTGGCGCACAGATCTCACGCCACATGGCCCCTGTGGGGGCAGGACTGGAAGAAGAGGAGGAGGTAGAGGAGGACATTGGTGCTCAGGAATTATGAGTGAAATGGGTGGTTTTTCCCACTCAGCGGACAGGAGTGGAGGAGCAGGAGCATCTGGTAGAGGAGGAGGAACGATTCCCCCTTGGAGACAGAGGACCTAGACGCACCGTGGCAGTATGCTGTGGGAGATGAGGGCAGGGAGTCCCTCGCATTCCTTGGCACAAATGGCCCATAGCATGCTCGGTTGCTTGCGTAGCGACAGCCGAATAATAACCATCAGACAGAGGGATGACTTTTGGCTGTCCACCTTGTTGGACCCACTCGCTACCGATTCAAAAATGGTGGCCTTTTTTTCACACCTGCTGAGAGGGAGGCCAAAATAACGTACTATAAAAACACCTATGTAGTCAGCTGGTCTCTGCCTGTCTGCGCCAACGTCCATCCTCAGACACTGTGGGCCCTGTGCGCTCGTGTTCCGCTGCCATGGCAGCAGGGGAAGGGGTGGGTGGTAGGAGCAGTGGCAGCTCCACCAGCAGCGGCTGCCTCAGTCTGCAGTCGATGATGAGTAGCTTTCTTCACCAGCGCAGTGAGGAAAACTACTAACCAGCCGCAGCAGCAGCAGCAGCAGCATCAGGTGGACCTGGAGCAGGACCTCAAACAACAGGCTTAGGCCTACTTGGACAGCACCCTGCCAACCGAGGTAGACAATCCCTTGACTACTGGGCAACGAAACTTGACCTTTGGCCCCAACTAGCTGAATTTGCCCTTGAAAGGCTGTCATGCCCGGCCTAGTAGCGTGGCATCGGAGCGCGTGTTTAGTGCGGCAGGAGGTATTGCAACTCCGCGGAGGACACGACTGTCCACCCAAAAGTGTGGAGAGACTCACGTTTGTGAAAATGAATCAGGCGTGGATTAGTCTGGATTTCAAACCACCAGTTCCTGACACAACTGACTAAATCCGCCATGAATCATGCCCCAAACATGTGCCACTTTCAGGTCTCCTCACACTGCTGGTGTGTTCCATTTTTTGGTCATAGGGTGCTGGCAGATTACGGGCCTCCCATAGCTGCTGCCAGGCCCTAATCTGCCATGGGCCCCTATACCGCCTCCTCATGCTGCTGCCAAGTCCAGAGTCTCTCATGGTCCCTGTACGGCCTCCCATTGCTGCTGCCTCCATCGCCACAACTCTGCCATGTGCCACTTTCAGGTCTCCTCACACTGCTGGTGTGTTTCCATTTTTTGTCATAGGGTGCTGGCAGATTACGGGCCTCCCATAGCTGCTGCCAGGCCCCTAATCTGCCATGGGCCCCTATAACCGCCTCCTCATGCTGCTGCCAGGTCCAGAGTCTCTCATGGGTCCCTGTACGGCCTCCCATTGCTGCTGTCTCCATCGCCACACTCTGCCATGTGCCACTTTCAGGTCTCCTCACACTGCTGGTGGGTTCCATTTTTTGTCATAGGGTGCTGGCAGATTACGGGCCTCCCATAGCTGCTGCCAGGCCCGTAATCTGCCATGGGCCCCCGTACCGAGTAACCGACTCCTCATGCTGCTTGCCAGGCCCGAAATCTGTCATGGGCCACTGTTGTCGCTTGTTGGCATATTCCGCTCGTTCAGATGCTCCTTCTCCTGCTACTCCTCTTAACGGATTCCGTCAGCAGTCTTTCTTGGAATCCGTTTCCAAGAGACAACAGTTTGCGAGCACGCACCCGACGGTGCAGAAGCTGAACGTCCTCCTGTCCAAGTTGCTGCTGCCAGGCTCGTAATCTGTCATGCGCCCCTGTACCGCCTCCTCATGCTGCTGCCAGGTCCAGAGTGTGTCATGGGCCCCCGTACCGACTCCTCATGCTGCTGCCAGGCCCGTAATCTGTCATGGGCCCCTGTACCGCCTCCCCATGCTGCTGCCAGGTCCAGAGTGTGTCATGGGTCCCTGTACGGCCTCCCATTGCTGCTGCCAGGCCCGTAATCTGCCATGGGCCCCTGTACCGACTCCTCATGCTGCTGCCAGGCCCGTAATCTGTCATGGGCCCCCTGTACCGACCGCCTCCTCATGCTGCTGCCAGGTCCAGAGTGTGTCATGGGTCCCTGTACGGCCTCCCATTGCCTGCTGTCTCTATCGCCACACTCTGCCATGTGCCACTTTCAGGTCTCCTCACACTGCTGGTGGTTTCCATTTTTGTCATAGGGTGCTGTATGGCCTCCCATTGCTGCTGCCTCCACCGCCACACTGTGGCTCCACACTCTGGTTTTGGCCCCGTGACTGCCCAAATGAGTGAAGTGTGCGGTGATTCTAAGATCGACGGCACTCATCTGCATGTCATACTGACTGACAGTATTATTTCTCTTCCCAGCAGACTCCAAGGGCATTTAAATTAAAGGTACAGTGTTCTGCACTAATATATTAAGTCTCTCTGAAGCCTAGAAACACCCTTTTTTAAGTTAAATTCACAGCGAATTTATTCGACTCGAATCGAATATTGTCCACGAATTCGCCGAATCAGTCGAATCGAATTTTTCATTTCTTCGCTCATCTCTAATAATAATCACTGACTGATGATATCGCCGGAGTGGGAAGCACACCTGAGCGCAGCTCAATATCAAACTAATAATCTCTTTAAAAAAAACAATTAGAACTGAAGTGCTATGGGGGGCGATAAAAGTTTATTAAAACATGAAGTTAATGATCAGCCAAAAATGAAAAATTTTAGGCCACAACTCTGGGTGATGTACGGGGCTGAAGAGGCATTGCTAGGCACGCTGCTATGGCATAAAGCTGAATTCCAGGGATGGATATTATTACATTGTTGCTGCAACTTGGACCAGTGTAAGTATGGAATGCACTGTATAGACACTGCTACTACACTGCTGCTACACCGCTACTACACCGCTACTACACCGCTACTACACTGCTGCTACACCAGTACTACAACCGCTACTACACTGCTGCTACACCAGTACTACACCGCTACTACACTGCTGCTACACCGCTACTACACCAGTACTACACCGCTACTACACTGCTGCTACACCAGTACTACCCCTACTACACTGCTAATACATCACTATCAAACCATTACTACACTGCTACTACACCCACCACTACACTACTACTGCCCCACTATTACACCAGTACTACACTGTTACTACCCCACTACTATGCCAGTACTACACCCCTACCACCCCACTATTACACCATTACTACATCACTACTACACCACTATTACATCACTACTACACCACTACCACACCACTATTACCTCTCTATTACACCAGCACCACATCACTACTGCCCCACTACTACACCGCTACTACACCACCACTACTGCCCTACTATTACACCAGTACTACACTACTACTACCCGACTATTATACCACTACTACCCCACTAATACACCAGTACTACATCAGTACTACCCCATAAATGCACCAATACTACACTGATACTTCCCCACTACCACCCTAGTACTACACCATTACTACCCCACTATTACACCAGTACTACACTGTTACTACCCTATTACTACACCAGTACTACACCGCTACTAAGCCAGTACTACACTGCTACTACCCAACTATTACACCAGTACTACACTGCTACTACATCACTACTACACCAGTACTACACTACTACTGTCCCACTATTACACAAGTACTACACCACTACTACCCCACTATTACACCAGTACCATACTACTACTACCTCACTACTCCACCTGTACTACACTGTTACTACCCCACTACTACACCACTAATACCCCACTACTAAACCAGTACTACACCGCTACTACCTCACTATTACCTCACTACTACACCAGTACTACACCGCTACTATGCTATTATTACAACAGTACTACATCACTACTACACGACTGCTACCCCACTACTACATCAGTACTACACCGCTACTATGCTATTATTACAGCAGTACTACATCACTACTATATGACTGCTACCCCCCACTACTACATCAGTACTACACTACTACTACACCAGTACTACACCGCTACTCAGGGGCAGGCTGACCATTTGGAAATTTGGGCACTGCCCGAGGGCCTGGGGTCAGTAGGGGGCCCCATGAGATGCCCCTGGTTCCTTTTTCATAGGCTTTTTTGAATTTGGGCAAGCACACAGGAGCCCCATGATCCCCTATTGCCCCGGGGCCCCATGAGTCGTCAGTCCGCCCCTGCCGCTACTATCCTACTATTACACCAGTACTACATTACTACTACATGACTACTACCCCACTACTACATCAGTACTACACTGCTACTACACCAGTACTACACACCGCTACTATCCTACTATTACACCAGTACTACATTACTACTACATGACTACTACCCCACTACTACATCAGTAATACACTGCTACTACACAAGTGCTACCCCACTATTACACCAGTTCTACACCAATACTACAGTGATCTCCACTAGCTTCCATGTCCCATGTATAGCGGCTCCAATGCTGCTTAGTGAACACAAGAGGTTGCTCGCTCACCATGGGCACCATTCAGGGAACATTGACCTTTCTACAGTGAATGCAAGCTGTTCCCTGATTGGAGGAGGTGGAGAGGCCGAATGGTGATGTCATGATGTCACCTTGTCCACTCAGAAAATACCTAATTGAGAAACAGAAAAGTGTTCTCTGAATGGGGCCCCTGACAAGCGACTGGCTTGCTGTGTTCAATGAGTAGGAGTGAAGCTGCTCAGCAGGGGACCCGGACGCTAGCAGAGATCACGGTAGTAGCAGTGTAGTAGCAGTGCCTACAACAGTGATTTCCAGTTTCCATGGGTATGGTGTATACTGCACATAAAAGGAGAAAGATAGGTGCAGCGCTTGAATAAGAGTGCAAAAGGAATGCTCTGTAAAGGTATATATGCATATAAATATAAATGCTCAAGAAAGTAGGTACAATGGTAACCAGTGCGCTAATCAATAAGAAATGTTAAAGCACACACACAGTCCACATCCCAAGTCAATGGTTGTAGGAGGGGTGAAAAAATCCTAGGAGCGAATAGAGTGCGCACTCACCAGAAGTGCGTATAAAATACGCATGTAGAGAGGTATACTCTTCACAATGTCTCTGGCATCAAAGCTCTGGTCAGATCGCACTCCACACTATCCTCTGTCTCACCACGAAGAGCAGTAACCAGGATTCATCAGACAGTATGGGCGTCAAAGATACTCCTTAGTCCAGATAGGCACTGTGGGAGATGGTGCTCTCAAGGAGAGCCCAATAAGGACGCCACATAGTGTAATGCTGTTTGACTTAGGTTTATTAGTCAAAGCAAATAAAACACAAAAAATTACTGACCATAGAATGTTGGCCACATGTAGTGGCTAGATGTCCATGTGCTGTAGCCCCCCCTGACGCGTTTCGTGCGATGCACGTTCTCAAAGGGCGCAGGGCTTACAGCAGGACATCTTTCCCCATCTATTTATACACAGAAATGGCAATCACGCTAGTCGCGGTGGCCATTTTGCCGCCGGCGTCTCGCGCATGCGCAGTACATCGGCGCCATTTTGCCATGGATCACTAGGGAGAATGCAATTGTTTCCCCTAGTGTCCATTAAAGCCATACAAGGCGGCGCCATGTTATAGGTAGGAATAAGCAAGATCTCCTATCTATATTCTAGTCATGAGCGCCGATCACAGGCTCATGACTATATAAATATTGCTATTATTATTAAAAAAAAAAATAGGTTTAAATATGAATAAATAATAGCATTAAAAAAAAAATTTTTAGCAAAAAGAATTAATAAATACTAAAAATTATGCAAATTAATAAATAATTATATAAATAAAATATAAAAATAATTATGCGATGGCCATTTCTGCTGTAATAAAATAGATGTAAATAACATAAATACATTTAAAATCTAATATATTTTATTAAGTATAAATTTTAAAATTAGGTCAGTACAATATATCCAAAATCAATCCATTTCATATGGTCAGAAAAAAGTCAAAAACATCAATGTTGATATACATGATAATACAACATTATACATAATAAAACTATCTAAAAACATGTAAAATAGAATACGCAATGACAGGTTATGGTGATATTTTGATATTAGGGCACTATTAACCACATCAATTCATACAGTACATGAGTATCACTGAAACTGGGGCAATATAAACGCACATTAGCTGTCATCAATGAAACAATTTAAATCAAATTCAATATTGTGACCTTTTGGGTATAGGGATCCAAGTTCGTATATCCACTTAGATTCTAGTTGTGAGATCGCTCTTTTTTTATTTTGTCCTCTCCAATGTGCGTTTATAATTCCTATACCCATAAATATTAATGATGATGGATCTTTGTTGTGATGCGTTTTATAATGGAGAGATAATGAGTGATCTTTGTAGCCCTTTCTGATACGTCTGGTTGTTTGCCCTATATATTGTAGGTGGCAAGGGCATTGTATTAGATAAACGACATATTTACTCGTGCAAGTAATAAAGTCGTCAATCTTAAAAGTCTTGCCGTTTGCTGTAGAATTAAAACTAGTATGCCTACTTGTAAAGTTACTATTAGTGCAGGTCATACACTTTCTACATGGGTAGAAGCCTTTCATTTGTGGAAAAAAAGGAGCATATAAAGGAGGGTCTAGAACATTTGGGGCTATTCTATTCCCCAGCGGAGTGGCTTTTCTAAAAGCGATCTGTGGTTTATCTGGTAGAAAACGTCTTAAAACTGGGTCTGACATTAAAATCTTCCAATTATTACGAATTATCCTAGTGACAGACTTATGTTGGATTGAATAATTTGTCACAAAAGGACAAACTTTCTCAGGTCTCTTATTATCGTTATTCTTCAACATCAAATCTCTATTTGAGTTGCCTACTTGTATCATAGTTTGTGTCAAAGTATTTTCATCATATCCCTTTTCAAGGAACTTAGTTTTAATAATGGCGGCCTGTTTATAGTATGTATTAACATCAGTACAGTTGCGTCTAATTCTGGTAAACTGACCCTTTGGTACATTCCGCAACCATGCCAGATGGTGACAGCTTTCCAAGGGAATGTAACTGTTTCTATCAGTTTTCTTAAAAAATGAATCAGTTATATACTGCACATACATACATTGGTCCAAGCTGGAACAATGTAACTATTCAAAACTGTTCAATCCAAACGTCATCTTTAAGCCGTGACGAAGGGCAATCGTTGTCCCCTGAAATGCGTTAGATCCCTCAACGTAAGCATTAGATCCCTCGACGTAAGCGTTAGATCCCTCGACGTAAGCGTTAGATCCCTCAACATAAGCGTTAATCCCTCAACGTAAGCGTTAGATCCCTCAAGGTAAGCGTTAGATCCCTCAACATAAACGTTAGATCCCTCAACGTAAGCATTAGACCCATCAAGGTAAGTGTTAGATCCCTCGACGTAAGCA